TCCGGTCATGGGGCCTGAACTCTGGGCTCGGGCGCTGTCCCTCAGCTCTTCAGCTCAAGGCTAGCGCTCTACCACTTGAGCCACAGCTCCACTTCCAGCTTTTCTTCTTTTTGCTTATGTGGTGCTGAGGAATTGAACCCAGGGCCTCAGGCATGAAGGCAAGCGCTCTACCACTGAGCTACCTTCCCAGCATCATACTGCCTATTCCTAATAGACTTTCTCATAATTCTACCCCAAATTTGCATGATTTTTTTTTTTTTTTTTGGTTAGTCGTGGGGCCTGAACTCTGGGCCTAGGTGCTGTCTCTCAGTTCTTCAGCTCAAAGATAGTGCTCTACCAGTTGAACCACAGTCCCACGTCAGGCTTCTTCTGTTTATATGGTGCTGAGGAATTGAACCCAGGGCCTCATACATATGAAAATAATGCTGCCCATGATTCTCTAGAGTGAGAATTTGAGGACAGAACTATTTCTGCCTTGTGCCGTGTGGCTGGCACAAGCCTCACTGTCTTCTTCCTGGATTATGCTCTTACACTGGGATTGGGCGCTATACTAAGCACTGATACTATGTGTTGACTAAATGAATGAATGCCACTCAGTGGGTCTTTAGGAAGTCAGACAAGTGAATTCCCGTCCCCGCTTCATTCATTTTACACAGATGACCCTCTGCATCTCATCTCCTAGGCATGGTTAAAAAAAAAAAACAGGAGGGGTCATTGCAGGCCAGAAACAGACCGGCTTTGTTCTGTAGAAGAGACAGTAATATGGGGCTCAGTATCTGTAATTCTGAGAAAGCAATCTTAATCTTGTTGTTTTACTATTTTACTAACCAATAATTTAGTGTAATACCTTAAAAAAATAAGCCTTTTAAACTGTCAGAATGCCTTGGCTACAAGTTCTACAGCTTCATGGTAATAATTTTCAAAAGTAGTAATGACTGGGCTGGGAAGGTGGCTCAGTGGTAGAGCGCTCGCCTTGCATGCTCAAGGCCCTGGGTTCGATTCCTCAGCACCACATAAGCAAAAAGAAAAAGCCGGAAGTGGCGCTGTGACTCAAGTGGTAGAGCACTAGCCTTGAGCTGAAGAGCTGAGGGACAGCGCCCAGGTCCAGAGTTCAGGCCCCACAACCGGACCCAAAAAAAAAAAAGTAGCAATGACTCATTTGAGGTGAAGGTAAAAGGCCCAAACACACATTGTATTGTTTTATTTGCCAGTACTGTGGCTTAGACCCTGGGCCTGGGCATTGACCCTGAGCTGGTTTTGCTCAAAGCAAGTCCCTCTACTACTTGAGCAACAGCTCCACTTCCAGCTTTTTGGTGGTTAATTGGAGATAAGAGTCTCGTGGACTTTCCTGCCTAGGCTGGCTTTGAACCATGATCTTCAGATCTCAGCTTCTTACATAGCTTGGATTACAGGTATGAGCAACTGGTGCTGAGCTCACCTTGTATTGTTTATATAAAAAATAGTAAGGTAGCAGCAATATAACATGAAGCGCAAATATGACTCCACATATAGCAACCTCATAAGATCAGAGGTCAGCTTGTTAATCACCTATCACATAACATTAATATTAATACTTGTAATATTAATACTTGTCACTATAGTCAGGTACAGTAGGCCTCTTGCCTATAATCCTAGCTACTTAAGAGGATGAGATCTGAAGCCAGTTTGAAGCCAGCCTGGGAATATAAAACTGAGAGGCTCTCATCTCCAAAAAGCCAGAAGTGGAGGTATGACTCAAGTGTTAGGGTACCATCTTGTGCAAAAAAGCATTTTAAACAAGAGCTCAAGGCCTGAGTTCAAGCCTTAGCACTGGCACAACAAACAAAATAAACAAAACCTTTTACTTGATGTTGGAACATTTTCTATTAGTTAACCTTTGATTTTCAGTTACTTTTCACTACTTAATACTTACTGATTTTTTACCTAAAGAGGTTCATGTATCTCTTCATGCTTTATGGTAATATACATTTAGAAAATGTTAAAAGATGTATATGTATATATTTCAATTTTATATATAATACATATATTTCTATATATTACAACATATTGTGTATAATATAGAATATTTATACATACATATAATTTTACATACAGTATATATATATGTGTGTGTGTGTCTGATTTTAAGTTGTAAGATTATTTGCATAGAAAATGCGAACCTGGAAAAGCTTGAAATAATAGCAGAATATGTCATCTCCCATGAGATTATTTCTTGCAAATTCTTGTCCCGCTTTTGCTATCTTCTTTGCCTATGGGGGAAAAGAAAATCCTTTATTGAACATATTTTCTCCTAAGATGAGAAACGCAAAGCATATCTTTGGAGTACACACATGCAGTGAACAAAAGCAGAAACACGTAGTTGGGGATCATCTTATGTGGTAAAAGGAACACTGAACATAATATGTTTGTGCAAATATTGGCTTGGAAGACTGGAAAGTCATATTGTACACCCTATGAGACAGAAGAAACCCAGCAAGCAAAGGAAAATGGTGCTACAAAGTAATTAAATATGATCTCTATTAATGTACTGGCTTCCCAGCTTTTCTCCCCCTCTTTCCCTCCCTCCTTCCTTTTTTTGTGTGCTAGTAGTAGGGCTTGAACTTAGGGCCTCATGTTCTTGCTTAGTCTTTTTTCCTGCTCAAAGCTGGCACTCTACCAATAGAGCCTCCACTTGAAGCTTTTTCCTATTAGTTGAAGATAAGAGTCTCTTAGAAGCTGGGCGCTGGTGGCTCACGCCTGTAATCCTAGCTATTCAGGAGGATGAGATCTGAAGATCCCGGTTCAAAGCCAGCTTGGGTAAGAAAGCCCAAGCTGAGACTCCTATCTCCAATGAACTACCAGAAAAACCAGGAGTGGTGCTTTGGCTCAAATGGAAGAGCGCTCGCCCTGAGCTAAAGAGCTGAGGGACAGTGCCCAGACCCTCATAGTTCAAGCCCCAAGACTTATCAAAGAAAAAAAAAATCTCTTAGATTTGTCTGCCTGGGCTGAATCTGAACTGGTTTTTTCAGATCTCAGCCTCCTGAGTAGCTAGGACTAGAGGCATAAGCTACAAGTGCCCAATCTACAGTTTTCTTGAAGCTTATTTAAGTCATCCCTCATTTTACTCTCAAGCACATTTACTGACACCGCTAGCAGAATTTTCACACTGCTAGCAGTGGTAACACATACCTCTCAGAACAACTCTACTGTGAGAAAAAGTTATGGCTAAGGCCAGAGTTTAGCTTTTGTTTTGTATGATAAATGGACAGCTAATCTAAGATGCATGGCTGTGGTTACCTTGAAGGGAATTCCTGCACTATCAACAGGCTGGCAGCTTCCTACATACAGGTAAAAGCTACAGCTGACACTGGGATACCCTTCAGGTTCAGGCATTTCCAGTATGTGTGCATGTACGAGTGACCTTTTAAGAGACCAACTGTACCTCTGCGTCATGATCTTTTGCCCATTTGAGTTTTTCCAGCAGATCGCTCAGGTTGTTTTTAACCGGAATGTAGTGTTTCCAGGGTTGCAGCTCATTGTAGAAGTGCTCATAGTAGATAGAGTCCTGCTTCAACACAACACTGTCGCCCACCAGCAGGTAGGGCAGGCGATACGCTGCCACCGTACCATCCACATTGATTTGGTATTTGTGCTATACAATGGCAATAGAGGAAAAGAACCTCTGTTAAATTCCATTTCCCATTCCCCACACCTATTTGCCATCCTCAGATACCAACCAGCCAGACACTGTCTCCTACCTTTGCCATTTAGTAAGTGCTGGTAGATTCCAGGCTCACCTAGAGCCGATGCTCATTTTTGATATGTTTCTTAATTTCATAAATGGAACAATAAATCTCATTTGGAAGTAGCTGATAAAAATCATAAAAAATGGCTGGGCGCTGGTGGCTCACACCTGTAATCCTAGCTACTCAGGAGGCTGAGATCTGAGGATTGCAGTTCAAAGCCAGCCCGGGCAGGAGAGACTGTGAGACTCCCATCTCCAATAAACCACCAGAAAACCGGAAGTGGCGCTGTAGCTCAAGTGGTAGAGCGCTTGAGCTGAAGAGCTGAGGGACAGTGCCCAGGCCCAGAGTTCAAGCCCCACGACCGACAAAAAAAAAAAAAAAAAAAAATCATAAAAATGGTTGGCCTCAGGTTACAATATAAGAGAAGGTAGATTTTTTTGTGACTTTGTAATACCTCTAATAATTTCTCCTCCTCTTCCATCTTTATCTTCCTCTTTGTTTGGCAACAGTGGGGTTTGAATTCAGGGCCTTGCACTTGGTAGGTAGTTGCTCTATCATTTCAACCATGCCAGCCCATCTACTTCTTCAGTAATTATACACATGCTCCTAATGATGGTACATTCTGTTTCCTGCTAATCATACTTTTTCAATACCACGTGGGCACATATGTTTTGAGGAACTTAATAAGCTCTGGAACAAAAACAACTCTGAACAAAATTTTTCATAGAACTATGAAATGAATAAACTTAATGGCAGAAAATACAACAGGCAAGAATAAAGCCAAATCATGATGTAACATTCCCTGAGGAGGGAACAGATGGTACCTGCTCTCTTCCGTTACAAACATTTCTTCTAAAAATCTTTTGGGACATATGTATGGACAAACACACTGCGTTTGTGACAGCCTTTAGTTCTACCTCTCTCCACAAAACCCATCCATCAACAACTTGGTCATTTACAGGGCAGGCACAGATGGGTGACCTCTATCCTCTCCCACACAAGAGGATGAGGGGCCACCTCTACTCATCTTTCTTTCCTTTTCAAAAACCTTCAGTGGTGTGAACAACAGAGCAGTATACACTGCCTGAAAAAGGGAGCTGTCAACCAAAATATTACACTCTGAGAAACATGAGCAATCCACATTCAAGGTGAGAGAACCATCCTTCACCCTCAGAATTCCCAGGCTGGCGATCTGGCTGGGTTTCAAGTTGTTCCCTGCCACAAGGCCTGATAAGGGGCACCTGTTTCTATGTTCTTTCCTGGAGTGCTGTGTTTTCTGAGAAGTATCTGTGAAATGACTTACGTGCATTCATTCACAGAAAAAGAATCTGAGCCGACACAGGCTATCTTAAGGGTAAGCCGAGGGAAAAACAAAACTTTATAGCTTTTCCCACGGCCTAGGTGACCTTGATACACGTGGGGTTTGAGTGGGAACCAGTTCTCAGTATCACCGTGCCACTATGGTTTGGCCTGGTCTTTCCCATCTCCCGTGGAACTAACAAGCCTTAACCTCAGTTTCCCATCCCCCTAATACAAGTATACACAGGAAAAGTAGGAAGGATGGCCTGGGCTGTTGCCCTACCTTGAAGAAATCGAAAAACGAGATGTGTTTCACAATGGGACCGTACAGGCTCTCATCGTGTTTAAAGAAGAAGAAGTTGGTGAAGGCAGCATCAATGAGCTCTGGGTGCTTTCTGCTGAGCTTCACCAGCTCCAGTCTCTCTTTGCGGCTGTCGCGTCCCCTCCAGACAGCTGTAGAATTCTTGCTTTCCCAGGGCGGCCCCGTGTTTGCTTGCACAGACATCATATCCAGACTCACTCTAGAAGACAGGAAACGCCACATGTCTTCCTCCCAAATCACCAAATCATAGAGGTGGATGGAACACAGCACTCACCAAGGAGAGCAAACCAAGGCAGGGGGTCAACCCTGACTCTTCTCTCACCGGCCCATGGTTTCTAGAACAGAGTCGGTCAGGTCGTAGGTGGGCATGACAATGTCCTTGGAATCCGTGGAGCCACACCAAGAGAAGATTGGATGAATGTTTGAATCGGATTTCTTTCTTTCCAAAGGCCAGTCTCCCAGATTAACAAAAAACTCTACATCGGGCATCTTCACCTAAGGAAAAGAAGACAAAGAACTTATTACTCAAAGCTCCTGCATTGCGTGCCACCTATTAATTATCAAGTAACATCACCAAGTGCCCTGAATGACAGGCCAACCTTAGATGTTTCAGACCATGACAATTGTTCCAGTAAAAGCCATCCTATATTTCCTTTCCATGAGGTTCACATTGGCCAAACAGACTTACTTGAAAAAGGAAGCGATGCAAAGGCTATTTCTGTACTAATACATGATCAAAGAGAAAAAGAAAAATCACTGGAAATTACAGGACGCCAGCCCTGCTTTATTATAAATGAGCCAGATGCTTCCTACCATCAGGTAGGTGGGTAGGCAGAGGATCCAAACTCTGGATGTCTAACACCACAACTGATACTAATATCATTAATTAATGATATTAATACATTAATGTAATAGAATATCAATTGTTTGTTAATATAATTTCACACATAATTATATATATATATATATATATATATATATATATATATATATATATGGATGGATGGATGGGTTTGTATGTAATCCTCCTCCCCTCCCCAACAGCCAGGTGAGAACAGTTAGTCAATCTAAGAAGCATCTTCAGAAACTGGGAGTTCTCTCTTTGCATTGACACAGACAAACAAGGAGTATTTGCTGGTGCCCTGCTATCTGAGCCTAAAGCATGTGTAATATCTTCTCTAAGTAATTATATACATTGCCTCAGAATTAAGTGATTGTAAATGCTTTACAAACTTGAGAAGAAAGAACTGTCATTTCACACGTTCCCCATGAATAATTCAGTTAAGGTGTCCTAAATTTATCTAATAAAAATTTTAAGAGATAATAAACATACAGTTGGTAAACGCTATCTTTTTTTTTTTGTCGGTCCTGGGGCTTGAACTTTTGGCCTGAGCGCTGTCCCTCAGCTCTTCAGCTCAAGGTGAGCGCTCTACCACTTGAGCTACAGCGCCACTTCCGGTTTCCTGGTGGTTTATTGGAGATAGGAGTCTCACAGTCTTTCCTGCCTGGGCTGGCTTTGAACCATGATCCTCAGATCTCAGCCTCCTGAGTAGCTAGGATTACAGGCGTGAGCCACCAGCACCCGGCTATGCTATCATTTTTATCTTGATCACTTTAATGCTGTTGTTAACTAGTCTATTAGAACCCAATTCTAATATAGTACCAAGAACATTATTCAGTATAAGGTAACCCTTCACTGGATTTAAGGTAGGTTTGGTAACAAAATAATTTTACTATAAAGCATTTTTCTCTTCACCACAAGTCACTGTTTGGCAGGGGTGAGATGTTTCTTCAAGAAAGGTATTCTTTGTTCTTAAATATCAGCATCTTCAAAGACTCAAGGAGTAGCAGAAAACCAGGCAACCCAGGGATGGAAGGTCACCTCCTGAATGGAAGAATCAGGGAATTGGTGGTGGTGGGGGGAGGAGTAGAGACAGGAACAGAACCTGAGAAGGAAGGAATGTGGCTCTGAGATTCTTTGGTTCAGGTCTTCTGGTCTGGCTTCCAGAACAGTGAGAGAATGAATTCATTGTTTAAAGACACTCCATTTGTATCATTTTGTTACAGCAGCCCTTGGAAAATAATCCAGGTATCTCTCATACATGACATGAAAGTTCAGAATATCATTATAATATATCTCCAGAGTAGTAGACAGTTGCTAGTGTTATTTGTTTTGTTTTGAAAAGTTACATTGTAATGCCAGGGTTAACATTGCCTACATGTACTTACAGGAAACAGATACAACATATAGTCTCACCTTTCTAGTCAAAGAAAGCAGGATGGCATCCATGAAAATTCTAAAACCTACATGCTCACCATGAGTCTTGATATATACCTAAAAAAGAATTTAACATTTGGTAAGTCAGTCTTAAAGTCCTGGCAAAGTTCCCTGAAGAAATCCTGGTCACAATGATTCCCATTAGGACAATGTTTAATAAAATTATTCATCTAGTTATGGCTAAAAGAAAACAAACCAGAATCAGGAAAGCAAGCAAACTTTAACCAACCGTTGTACCTTGTTGTCTTTCAAAGTATAGTGACACAGACTCTGTCGCTGTCCAAATCTTTTTGGGATTTCTGCTGCAATCTTTTCTGGATCAACAGTAGGGAAATGTGACAGATCTTTCTGAATCTGAGCAATGGTTTCTGGGCAGTTCATCTCCTTTAGCCAGGTTGCACTATCTTCCAAAGGACAGTCACAATTCTCATGATAAACTGGTCCTATTTAGATACAAACAACAAAAGTACAAGTGAAAATTCTACTCAGCATTTGAAACATGTAACAATTATCCACATCATGAGCTTCCTGAATTTTGACTAGTTAGGCTTGAACTCAGGACCTGGGTGCTGTCCCTGAGCTCTTTTTGCTCAAGGCTAGCGCTCCACCACTTGAGCCACAGCTACACTTTCAGCTTTTTTTTTTTTTTTTTAAAGTCGTGGGGCTTGAACTCTGGGCCTGAGTGCTGTCCCTTAGCTCTTCAGCTCAAGGCGAGCGCTCTACCACTTGAGCTACAGCGCCACTTCCGGTTTTCTGGTGGTTTATTGGAGATA